CTTTTGCTTTTGTTACGCCGAGTCATTACTCGAAAACTTGAAACATATTGCAACTAATCAGGATAAACAGAAACCCAGTTGTCGGTTCTGCAAACTTCCATCACGTCCAGGGTTTCTTTAAGTAATGTTTCTTATTTGTTAATCAAACGACCTGACAAATTTAACTAACTTGTTTAGTTTCGTTTCCCAGTCTTCTATTTGGCAGTCGGGGGTGTCATCCTCGTACTCACGAGGAGGGATGCAACACTCCCCTCGTTTAATATTATCGATGCCATCAGAAGAAGAAGAAGTAATACCATTTTCCCTCCAAAGACCTGTCAAGTAACTTCCCAAGCACGAGCAGTTAGCCCATCCTTGTCGACTAAGAGCGATTTGCCAATCCACTTCAAGGCAATTCTTGTCCGCTGTGATAAATAAAGGGCAACGGATTAACCTCGTTGCTGTTGCAGTTTTCATACTGTTTGGCAATATCCTCTCATAACCTCGTTTTGGTTTCCTATTATCTAATAAAGTATCAAGACGTTTACAGTAGAAGCCTCCACAGAAATTCTTAGCAGTTTTCGACGATTTCTTTAAGGACTGTATGAAGGACAAGAAAGTGGGCAGTGGGCATTAGAAGATTTGAATTAAATAAGGAAAAATAAAGATTAATTCCAGATTCAAAATTAGATTTTTGAGTTTGTAATTGATAATTGGGACCAACCTGACGCGCTCTCGTGCTGAGTCTATCTATTTAACCCTGCTTCTTTTTTCTTTTTTCTTTTTTCTTTTTTTTTTTTACAAATTTTCCTGTTTTATAGTTCCTTTAACTTTCATCCAATTTCATTAAAATTTAACCAGACCCGCCTGTGACAAAAACAACGGGACAGTGCTTAGGCGTCGATATAGGTCTAGGTCCGAGTATGGAGGAAGCAAATAATTCCCTCTCTGAAATGTATTATTGAAACTATCATTTCTCCCTTTCTTATTTCAAGTTGCAATAATTATCAACGTTACCTCCACCAGTCTTTAAGTTCCATATCTTACTGTCATTCAAATTACTCTCGCCATGAGCACTCCACGAGGTAACTGCTACATCATACTCTTTCCTGCAGCTGAGGTGAAGCGTGTAGCTGGTTTCATTTCCGTTCACGGTAATCGACTGCCACTTGCTTTTTACCTCGAGGAATATCACTTCCCTGTAGTACACAGTGTATTTGTCAATTGGACACGTCCAGGGAGGTTCCCACGCGACGACAACGATCCCGCGAGTTACTTCTTTGGTCGTGTTTACGATAACAGGAACTCCTGGAATAATGATAAAAGAAAACTTCCGAGTCATAAAATTTCGATCATAAGCTCCCCCTCCGAAAATAAACCGCCTAATGCATAGCTTCAAAAATCCTTTCGAAGATCATGATTTCCTACCCGTACGAGAGTAAGACAATGTGTTGAATTTGCATTAAGATTTTTTTTAAAGAATAATTATACACGTACCGTTATTTCTTCCGATCATAAAGCCCTTTGCTGTGAGTTTCTTTTCTATTTCATTTTCGTGATAATGCTCAGAAACTTCTGATGTACATTTCGATACATCTTAAGAGTAAAGAACTAGTTTTGTGTTTCTTATCATTCCGTTTGGAGAATTTTTGAGACCCAGTTTTTATGTGGAACCTCATTTTATTTACAACAGAATATTTTGGACTTTGGGTCCGTAAATCAGTTTTTGAAAAGCAAAGTTCCTTGCCGTAATTATTATTATTAATGAACCAACCGCCATCACCGTTAAGCTAGTTTTTATCAAAATTTCCGCCAAGGCCTAGGTCTCAGCAAATTTTGATGCATTACCACTCTTGTGAGACGCCATATATGACGTCATTATTAATATTGTGGTATCACCCTGAGTGAATGATATCTGCAGTAAATTTGCTAGTGCAACCCATGGATTACTTAGTACCATATTTAAAGTCACACTACAGTGTGATAGTACCTCCAACGGTCTTGAAATTCGATATCTTGCTCTCGCTCAAATTAATTTGCTCATATCCAATTTGTGAGGAAATTGCTACATCATACTGTTTGCCACAGTTGAGATGGAGCATATAACTGGTTGCGTTTCTGTTCATAGTAACTGGGTGCCACTCGCTTTTTATCCCGTGTGGCATCACTTCACTGTGTTAAACGCTGTACCCATCAATCGGGCACGCCCCTTCCGAGGGAGGTTCCTATACTACCCCAAAGATTCCCCCGTTACTATCTTCGTTGTGTTCACAATAACAGGAATGCCTTTAACAGTAATTACAGAAAAATCTCCGGTCAGACCGTCAAAGGTACTCCTGCCTGAAATCTAAGGTTTAAGATCTTTTGATAATGAGCCACTACGCGCACGAATATAAAGCCCTGGGCTATATCAAGATTTAGGTTTTTCAAGAACAAAATAACTTATCATTATAGGGCCCTCCTATATAAAGCTTTTTTCGTGTTTCATATCATTGTGGTTTGAGAATATTTGACGCCCTGAGTGGCTAGCCGGTACGTAATCTAAATTTTCTCAGAAGGAAACCTCGTTCTTAAAGCAAAACTACTTCAATGTATGATAAACCAACAGAAAAATCCTCTTAAACAAAAACCCTGAACGTATTCATTGCCGTAACCCCCTGACATGGGCTCGCACGGGAAAGAGAGAGACAGAGAGAGAGAGTTCGGCCAAAACAACGTGGCGACGTGCAGTAGAAAGGGAGAGCTCCAGAGCAGGGTGGCAGTGGAGTGAGGTGCGTGCCTCAGCGCAAGACAAGAGTCCATGGAGAGTGAATGTGGGGGCACTATGCGTCACTCTGGCGCAAAGGGTTAGGTGAAGGGTTGCAGTAACTAATAGAATGGGTAGTAACGTAAAGCTCACCCCTTAGTTTATTGATTTGATCCAGCGTCAATGCCGTACCAAAGACATAAAGATCCATTACAGATCCATGGAACTGATGATCATCCGTATGACCGTCGTTACCAATCTGGTACAGTTTCCCAGTGGGTTGAAAGAATGGGGCTCCTGGGATGTATGATCTGTGCCCTGCGTCTTGACCGTTAGCATAGATAAACACAGCATCTCTCGTGTGATCCCATGTGACAGCCACGTGGGTCCACGTGTCCAAACTAACTTTGGTACTCTCTAAGGACCACCATACTTCACCCCCGTTTTGGTGGCGATGAAATATGATCTTCTGGTCTTTAACGCTTAAAAGAAACTGCCATGGAAAATACCAGTCGCCGTAAATCGCTGCCAACCCTTCGGGAACCCATGCTGTTTGTTTAATCCAACAGGCAATGGTGAAACTCCGATCGTTAAGATTAATTATCGGTGTACTGGCGAAAGAATTTGTTTGGTTGAAAAAAGCGGCCTTACTGCCCGGGATTCTTCCCTCAGCGAAGAGTGGCAAGCTATCAAAGCTGTAGGAAAAAAGAGAGAGAAAACACTTGTTTATCCTCGGTAACTGTTTTAGTCAAGTCCTACTGGGGTTTAGCAAGCAAATATTAGATACAATTATTTCAAATTAAGCGTTGTTTTTGGCGTCCGTCCGTCTCTGGAGACAATGGAACTCTGCGCCATGATTCAGTTTGTAGTTGAGTTACAGCGCCTGCTGTGACTGTGCAGGCTAATTCTAGATCGACAGGCTCTGTTCCAGTTGTTGCAGGTGAAAGACACGCCTAGCTGAGGGCAGGGAATTCAACAAGATTAAAATCCCAACTGACAGGAGGTGAGCCAGTTACCAATTTATACACGCCTAGCCCAGGAGTTGTACTTGGTATTACCATGAAAAACCTCCAGCAAGTGGCCAGAAGTTACTGGACTTGAACTCCATGAATTACGGATTTCAAGTCCGGCGCCCTGACCAGTTAGCGGAAGAAAATCATCACCAACCTTACAAGCTTGTCTTGACCGTCCAGCAGCCAATGGCCAAGGACTTCCATATCTGAAACACAAAACCAAAATAACTGTTTCTATTGCTTCTATATTGTTAACTTACAGGGACAATTCTCAGGACGGGGTGTAACCGATGGCCGCAGAGACTCTATTGCATAAAAACACTATTGCATTAAAACCCTGAAGGGCACAATATTGGGCATACTTATTTAACTTTTAAATATGTGGAGCCTGAGCTACTCATCAATACTTTTTTAACATGATACTTTTTTATACTTGGTTTACAATATTATGAGATGTAGGGTGTACATGTATTTTCGTTTTGTACCACAGGGTACCCAGACAAACTGTTTGTGTGATGTGAACATTTACATTTTTGTAGAAAATGTATGGGATTTACAGAACACTTTGCCGAATTGCATAAAATCACGAAAATATGAACAAATACTTGCTCAATAAAAGTAAATATATCTTATATATGGTGTACTGTCGTTCATTGGCTCAAAATTGCCAATTTCAGCAGGTTTGAAGGATTCAGTTTACGTTCGAAGTTTACCATACATATAATAATAAAACGGTGGAAAGTCCAAAGGCTCAAAACTGGAACATCTCCTGGCCGAGGTGATTTTCGGCATGAAATCCTATCGCTCTGCTTCCAAACTAAACAGCGGAAAGAGGAAAGTTCCGTGAATGTTCCTATATCATTCAATCGAAAATTCATCCAAACGGCACACTACTAGCCTTCAAACAAAACCCAGGACCGAAAATTTCCAAACCGTCAGAATGCGTAGCGACAAAACGTTGTGCCGGAGCGAAATCGCTATTCCCTGGCCTCTGTCTGATTGGATACAGTGAAACAATGGCCGTTAAAAATTCCTTCCCGTGGATAGGGTGGCAAAGGCAAAACCAATACTCACTAGCATAGGCAGTGATGTCAATAGCGCAACACAACCCAGGGACCCTCAGGCAGTTACGGCGAAAGGCGATGCAATTTTACAAAGTGTTCTGTAAATCCCATACATTTGCTATAAAAATGTAAATGTGCACAGCACACAAACAGTTTGTCTGGGTTCCCTGTGTTTGTACTTTGGTCCTCGTGGAACTTTAAAACAAGGATACTCACTCAACGAAATCCCGAATTGAGCCAGAAAACCTCGCTTTGTGATAGAAGAGTCTGACGTAAATGTGATGTACAACAGCTGAGTTTTTTTTCCTTCAACAGTGACATTAAATCTTGCCTTAGAACCACTGAGCCGGTCTGTTATTTCATGTCCTAAGCTGTCGGTTAACTCAACAGTGTCGTAGCTGCAAGAAAACATGGCACTGGGTTATTGACGTATAAATTAGGTGTGACCCTGACTTCACATCATGCCATGTGTGACATCACGTTTCATCATGTCACATTATACCATGTGTGACATCATATCACATCCTGCCATGTGTGACATCATGTCACATCATGTCATATGTGACAACACGTCACATCATGTCACATCATGCTATGTGTGACACACACTACATCATGTCATACCATGTCATGTGTGACATTACGTCACATCATGTTTTGTGTGGCATCATGTCATATCATGTCATTTGTGACATTACGTCGCATCATGCCATGTGTGACATTTCCTCACATCATGTCATGCATGATATCACGTCACTTCATACGTTTTTTGAACGAATAGCAGATTTTCACTTTGTCGTCATTTGACTACAACTACCACAATTCCTTTCGTTTTTTCTTTGTTATTAAAATTTAGAACTTAGTTTACTCTAATACGTTTATTGTTTTTATATGTTAATTTATAACTATATTTGATATTCAATTTCACTTGTTTTTTTCGTTTTTTGTAGTAATATATGTCTTGCCAGTTGTTTGTTCGTGTCGGTGACCAACTCGAAAGCTTAAGCTTCTTTCGTCACTGACTACATATTATCTTCAGTTGATTTAAGCTTTCCATTTTTCTTTATTTCCATTTCTGTAATTCCCTTGTTAATGTAGTAATTTAGTCAGTATAAGATTTGTAAAAATTGCCAATAATGCAAATCTGAATCTGAAACTTGAACTAAAAACCATAGTGTCAAACGTGAGAAAACGCGCCTAGCAGAGCAAAACTGATTACTTGCAAACAGTAAATAAATACTGTTTTAAACTAAATTTCTTAATTCTAATTATGACGAGGGCTTACCTTTGCTCTGTCTCGAACGCCAGAAATGCAATTGTAACAAAGCCATCAGTGGGAATATTCAAAGTCCATACGCAAGTCAGATCGACAGAGTAAGACTGTGAAGGATATCCAGGAGTGGAGAATGATCCTGAAGACCCGTTCAACATTCCGCCACATTCTGAAAAAAATATTGTTAAATGTATGTTTGCCTCGTTAATTGATGGTTAAATTTTTTACCGCTTTCATTCTGGAATTTTTCAGTTAGAAGAGTCAAGAGACCAACTGAAAAATTGATCTAAATATGTCATGTGAGGGTTGTGCTCCAAGAATATTGGCTTAAGGTCTTAATTGCAACGGGTTCCGTGCAGCAGAAATGAACAAGGGACAATATGAGAAAAAAAAACTTTTACTCTAATCTTAAACATTCGGCACTGCTTGAAGGTTGAACTTATCCTCAGTTCACACATGACCGAAAATATTTTCAGTCATGGCGCTTAACATTAATTAAGGAGGGTGCGATTGGATGTCGACTCGTAAAGGCACCTCTGGCTCCCTTTGTGGTTCTACTCATCCCCCAACTACGGCCCTATCCCCCACTCGGGCGCAAGGAACTAAGCATCCCCCAACTCACAGAAACCAGGAGAAAAAGAGAAATTACATCAGACGATAATGCCCGGGGAGTACTCCCTTACATGGGCTGTATGGGTATGTGCGGCCCCAAAGGGTATGATTTTTAGCCGTTTTGGTCAGAAATAGAGTATAGATTTTGGCCATTTTGGTCATACATAAGGTATGGTTTTGTATCCTAGTCTTGAACTGGGTATGTTTCTTTTTTACAGAACCTACTTTTTCATCATTATCGATAAGACCATCAACAAAAGCCCTTCACAATGTCTTTAACATCGGTCCAAATTAAAGAGCTAATTATAAGGCAGGTCTGAAACAGGGTATTGATTTAAGGGTAAGGTATTAAATAGGGTATCGAATTTTTGGTCAGGCCTTAAATAGGGTAAGGGAGCCGAACACCACCATCCATTTTCTCTGGGAATACTAGGCGATAATGACGATGATCTAATCTAAATCTAAAGACTGTCCTAATTCTTTAAGTTGAGATGTGAAGGTGACGGGACCGAGAGCTGAAGGTCGCTGACCAGCACTGAAATCAATCATCCGGAGCTGGAAACCTTGCTTGCTTGACGAAGAAAATAATGGATATCTAAGAGTCAACAGATGGTTAGCTTACCAGTGAGGGGTGGCTGGGTGGTAACGGGTGGTTGTGTCACCTCGCGTGTCACAGGCACTGATGAATTACAGTAACAGAAAAACATATATTTAATGTACAGATTTTGAATTGAGTTACTAATTAATCGATTTCTCGAAGATTTCCTGCCACTTTCCGTAAAAATGGTATTATTACAGAATTATCAGCCTCAGCCTTCGGCTTAAAACACTTTTCCTTGAGTTTGATCATTGTGGATATCACTAAAACGTCATCCAGTAATTGTTTATCGAGTTTTGCAAGTTCTAATTTACCTGTAGCCTAACTTGACTTATTATCATTATGTTAACTTGGTAATCTTTTACCTTTTTTATAGCATGGCGTTACAAAATCGATTAAGTGTGTTTTCATTTTCTACTTTGGCGTTCTTAAAATTGTATAAGAAATTACTCACGTGCATTAATCGTAATGTTGTATTCAGCCAGGAAACCTCGCTCTGTCACAGAAGAATCTGAAGTGAATTTGATGTACAATAACTGAGTTGTTCTGCCTTCAACAGTGACATTAAATCGCGCCTTAGAACCACTGAGCCGGTCTGTTACTCCCTGTCCTAAGCTGTCGGCTAACTCAACAAAGTCGTAGCTGCAAGAAAACATGGTACTGGGTTATTGACGTATAAATTAGGTGTGAGACTGACTTCACATCATGCCATGTGTGACATCACGTTTCATCATGTCACATTATACAATGTGTGACATCACATCACATCCTACCATGTGTGGCATTATCGGTTAACTCATCGGTCGGTTAACTCGACAATGTCGAAGCTCCAAGAAAACGTGGTACTGGGTTATTGACGTGTAAATTAAGTCTGACCTCGAGCCATGTGTCACATTATGTCGTGCATAACTTACACTTTTGCAACTAAGGGACCGGTCAACTGGTAATAAGCGCGGGAAAACTTGTAACTGGTACTAAGCGCGGGAAAACTTGTAACTGGTACTAAGCGCGGGAAAACTTGCAACTGGTACTAAGCGCGGGAAAAACTTCTAACTGGTACTAAGCGTGGGAAAAACTTCTAACTGGTCCTAAGCATGGGGAAAACTTGTAACTGGTACTAAGCGTGGGAAAAACTTGTAACTGGTACTAAGCGTGGGAAAAACTTGTAACTGGTACTAAGCGTGGGAAAAACTTGTAACTGGTACTAAACGCAGGAAAACTTCTAACTGGTACTAAGCATGGGGAAAACTTGTAACTGGTACTAGGAGAGGGAAAACTTGTAACTGGTACTAAGTGCGGGAAAACTTGTAACTGGTACTAAGCGCGGGAAAACTTGTAACTGGTTCGAAGGGCAGGAAAACGTTTTAACTAGTACCAAGCGCGGGAAAAACTAGTAAGGGCAGGAAAAGCATATCTATACAACGTACAAAGGCAAGAAGGCTAAGACTTTCTACTGGTACTGACAGAAATTATCGCATACGAATCATTACACACAGGAGTCCTGTCACACGAAATGTAAATAATTTTTTTACGATAACAAATTTGTTAAACACCAATAAGAATTGATTCAGAGAAAAACCATGTAACCAAGTCAAACTAGAAAACGCGCTTAGCAAATTAAGATTGATTATGGCTTTATAAAGAAGTACTAATTCTCAGAGCGAATATTTTTAATGAGCTGCCCACCGACATAACGAAGGCCGAAGTCATACAGACTTTCTGCCGCCGTGCAAAAGGGTTTTTATTATCGTAATAGTTCTTAGTGGTTTCTATTAGTATTTCAGTATTGTAATTAGATTTTTAACGTAGTTTCTGTATTTAAAGTATAGTTATAAAGTTTTAATATGTGTACATAAATTTCTTTTTTTAACCCGATGTTATTTATACAGGGCCCCTACAGATACCAGCCTTTGAGCTGAACGGGCTACCCTGTTTAGATAAAGTTTTGTTCTACTCTACTTTACTTTATTTTACTCTAGTCTACTCCACGCCACGCCACGCCACGCCACGCCACGCCACGCCACGCCACGCCACGCCACGCCACGCCACGCCACGCCACGCCACGCCACGCCACGCCGCGCCACGCCACGCCGCGCCACGCCACGCCGCGCCACGCCACTCCTCTCCTCTCCACTCCACTCCACTCCACTCCCCTCCGCTCTACGCTACGCTACTCTACTCTACTCTACTCTACTCTACTTTACTTTACTTCACTTTACTTTGCTAACATGCTGTTTTAAATTAATTCTTATCAGATCCAATTATGACTAAGACTTACTTCGACTCTGTTTCGAACTCTAGAAAATCAAGTCTGAGGGAACCGTTGACAGGAATATGTAATGTCCATGTACAGTCCAAGTCATCAAAATAAGACGAAGGATATCCAGGAGTCGAGAATGATCCCGAAGACCCGTTCAAAATCCCGCCACATTCTGAAAATAAAATATATCGTTGATTGATTCTTTGCTCCCAAAAGCTAAAATTCAAAGCTGTTTCTATTCTGGCATTTCTAAGTTAGAGACACCAACTCGTGTAAAATTTATCTTCCTGGCCAACTTAGCGGCGATTATCCGGTACTGAGACTTGACTGCACCGTGTGGTGGACAAAAGAGAATATTTAGCAGCTAAAAGATAACTGATCAGCTTACCGTTAATGGGCGGCTGAGTAGTCACGGGTGCCGTGGGAGTAGTCACGGGTGCCGTAGGAGTAGTCACGGGTGCCGTGGGAGTAGTCACGGGTGCCGTGGGAGTAGTCACGGATGCCGTGGGAGTAGTCACGGATGCCATGGGAATAGTCACGGGTGCCGTGGGAGTAGTCACGGGTGCCGTGGGAGTCGGCTGCGTTATAGCAGCACCTAGTAAAGAGGGAAAAGGTTTATTACATCGTCCTGAAGAGGCGACGTGTAATCATGATTTTAAATCGTCACTTGAATTTTGAGTACAATTTATTATAGCTTTACTTGGTAAAACGGACGCACTCACCTGACATCAACACAACGAGTGAATTTATGCAAGCCTGTAGATAGAAAAACAAAATATTAGCAGAAATTTCCTATTTAAAAGAAACATAAACGATAGTACATTACGTTTCGGCGTCATCTCGTCGTTATTTAACAAATGCAAAATTTTAAGTCTGACGGTTTGAATGTATTTATTAGTTTAGGTGTGAAAGAGTCAAGGAAAACATCAGCTGATTAAACATTGTGGCACGAGCGGAGTCTGCTTGTCGTCCGCTTGTTCGTTCAAGCCTAGTCTCTTTTCCATAATTGTCTTGATAGCGAATAACGACAACATTTTGCAGAACTGGTATCGATATAGGTTTCCAAGCCAGGTGCGGTAGCTAAGGATATCTGCTTTCTGACCACCTTAGGGGCGTAGCCAGCTAGATTTTTCAAAGGGGGGGTCACACTGTGTCAAAGTGAGGGTACTCACCAGATTGTCATGTCATTTTTGCCGCCTGTTGTAGGTTGTTTACTTAAAAAGGCATACAAAAGGGGAGTCGCGGGCACCCCAGGGCCCCCCCTAGCTACGCCCCTGCAACTGAAGGGAGTTGTAGCCTTTTTAGCAGTTGTCCTAAATCAACTGGGCCAGCTGATGAAGGAAATATGTGAACAGAAGATCGTTTCAGGAAGAAAGCTTGTGCTATCGTTCTTTGATTTCATGAAAAAAAAAAAGCCTGAACATTGATAAAATCCAGATCCACGACGGCTATCAAATAAGGGCATAGAGTAAAGCTTAAAGGTTTGTTACAAAAAAACAAGATAAGATCTTCTACGGAAATGCTATCAAATCACCCCTTGCACTAGCACAAAGGGTCTTTGTTACCAGTCCCGTGAATTTGATTGTTTGCGCTCGTCTGGTTAGGTCAGTTAATCTCTAAAACGTAATCGGCTAAATATTTCCCTTCAAATTATCATTACAATGCGAGGTATTAGGAGAAATTGTCTTACTTCCCAGGCACTGATAAATGATTGAAATGTCTGAACTAGCACTATTAGGATCTATTAGAAATAAGCGGAGACAAGTAAGGAGAATTTGCGTGTTTGCGACTGTTGTTGAGCTGTTGAGTGACTTGGTTGTTATGTAGGATATGAAGGTTATTTCCGAACCCAGACTGAAACGATGGTAAGAAGATTGAACCTTGCAGCTCAGTTCAAAATCATGTTCACTCTCAATACTTATGACCGGACATTCTTTTTGAGTTCATTGTTGCGTCTCAAACTTTTCACTGCTGGCAGAACAACCTTGTACTTTTCTTTCCTTTGCTCCTTAGTTGCTTTTTTAGTTTCTCTTCGATGGAAAAGAAAATATTGTACATACCAAAACTAATAACACCAGCGAAATAGGCTATTTACGAAATCCGAGCCGAACGGACATTAATTACCGTATTCGATACGTTTAAAGTTCTAATTTTGCGGAATGGATTTTTAGTTCAGGCCAGATTAATTTTCCAGTTAAGGTTGTTCCATAGCGTAATCATTTATGGCGTTGCGCGCGCAAGTGTTATGTTTTGAATGCTGTTTTGCATTTTTTTTACACCCAGTCCCCTCAAACTTACTACATGTAATAAGCAATGATTAAATAGTGTTTTACCATCATCTCTGTTAAAATTTTTGGTTTTAGTCTTGAATTATAAATGCCCCCAAAAATGCGTTTTTACCTTTTTTTTATGGCTTTATTTGTGATTTTCTTAAATTTCTTTCGGTGAAATCTTCCAAAATTTTCACGGCACATCGCATCCTGCGGGATATGAATTTTAAACACAAAAGAGTAGGGTTTGTACAGGCAGTTTTTTTCAATTTTTGCAAATTTGTGTCTTTTACCGCTGCGAAAAAAAAATGGTCTTAAAGATGAAAACAGGCTCCAACTAAAGTTAAATTTTACTACCAGTCTGCCAAATTTACGGAATTTCACCGAAGGAAACTCGGGAACATTCACTGTCAGTTTTGCTTTTTGTGTTCATGTTGACGTCGTAAAATATTGAAAAACACCGACGTTTAGCTTCGAGCGCGCGCAGGTTATACTTAAGCTTTCGTCCTCAGCGCGCGTGCGATCGTTAAACTATAGGGAGCCACCTTAAGCTTTTATGAAAAAAGGGTTAATTGCCGGAACTCTAACCAAATAATTCGGTATGCAATGCATAGGTAATATCGACTGAAAGCTACTTTGGCTGTAAATGTGCTAATTATTTCGTAAGGCTCTTATTAAAGTTTATCGATCTCGCTCGAATTCCTTGTGAGTCCTTTTGTACACTGGAGCTGATAAGAACGAATTGGAACGAAAGAAACGTTGCAATAAATAACACAGGAGAAACATATTTAGCACAATGGTTAAATCGCATTATTTATTTACGTTTTTGAAACCTTCCCTCAGAAGGATTCCTTAATTCATTCATGCAGCTGATTATCCTAAACTGATTGCTAGTTTCGATAAGGCGCGAAAAACCGTGTTAAGTTTCACGACATTTTTAACTCAGAAGTAGCCAAAACTAATGGGCCTTAGGGTAATATTAATGACCCCAGATCAAAATAATTAACCTTCTAACCGTTTTGAGGATTACATTTTCATTCACCAAACTTAACGTTTCATTAAACATGAATGTGTTCTAAGTATTAGTTTTTTCATATGGAGCTGACATCCCGGCATATTTTGTCGTTGTTGATTATGGTGTCGTTACCCATGCGATTTCTCCATCGTACTTTTCATTATTAAGCTAAACCAATTCAAGATTCTGCAGCTAGTGAAAGCTTTTAGGGACTCTTGCTTCGATAAGCAGATGAAAGCTGATTGTGAAGTCGGTTGTTATGAATGCCGTCTTATATAACTAGCAAAATTAAATATGATATTTGCAGCATCTATGCACAATACTGACATTTGTAGATGTTTCTAAAAAGGCTACAAATTTCGAAAAATTCACACTGTTGCTGGAGTGCAGTGCTATACACCCCTCAATCAATTATTTTAAAATACAAACAAAATAAAATAAAAATATATTAAAATATTTCGAGAAGAAGCCACATCAGCTGGTTTTCATTTCCGTCCTCTGTCCTGGAATTGGAATTTGGGGTATTGGTTTTTGTGGAGTGAGGAAAACCGGAGAACCCGGAGAAAAACCCTCGGAGCAAGGCGAGAAACAATTACAAACTCAACTCACATATGGCACTGGGCCGTTTTAAAAGAACGCTAAAAAGAATTATGAACACTTAGGTTATAAAGAAAATTCACTACTCCACAGTATTAGGCATAATAGAGATATAAGAACGCTGACGCATTTTTGTAAAGTATGTTTAGTCTGTTATAGATTCATTCCCTCACTCACCATCAATGTTACCCCTGCAGCCTTCATCGTTGATTCCGTGCGCAGTGTCTGGGTCAAGTAACTGCTGAGAACATACAAACCATCTAACTGATGTGTTTACGTTACTGAAGGGAAGTTAAAAGACATTGGCCTTGAGTCTTATTTCCATTTTTCGTGATATTTACCTGTCATGAGAACAAATTGCTAATTAGCTTTTAGTTAAAATTCAGGAAGATGTTAATGGCCTCGACATTATCCGTCTATTTAGTTTAGTTGTGCATTAGCTGTTAAAAAGTCGCTTCACTAGAAAAATTGTATTTTGAAAATTATGTTATTATGAAAGAGCATTATTTTAAATTTATGAACTTTCATCTGTTGCCGAGTTTCAGCTAGTCCAGGTTTACATTGTAAGTTCACAATAAGCTACTATATAGCAGGTGATAGTTCAGGCTTGTAAATTTTAACGATGATTAAACCTTGTTGTGCATCAGGAAAGTTTATTGAAACAATACCAACGATTTCTCAGTCCTTTTTGAATGAGATTCTGATGTCAAAAAATACAGCACACGACAAATCTACATCCGCTGCTTCCTCCTTCATTTAACCGAAAGTTGCTTACCCAACGTTATGTAAAAACTACCACTAAATGCTAGCGCTGAGGGAGAAACTCTTAGATGGTTAAAAAAAACGTTAGCTGAATTCACGAAATTGTGTTGCAAGCCGAGAAGAAACATTTGTTGTTTGAAAATGGATGTGTTAAACAGTTTAGAAGGAAAAAGAGACGATCCGGTTGAGTTAGGTTACAAGTTTTATTCGCCTTATGAAAGAATTGAAAAACGAAAGAAGGAACAAAAGCTAAAAGAGCATTTCACCCACAAGCAACGCGAATGCTAAGTAGCATTGTGTTTGCCATCGCGCCGTTTGCAGCTGGTGATAAGAGAGCCATTTTAAACCCGAGGTTGAAAAGTTCATGAAAAAGTTTATTTTGTAAATGCAACCGTGATTTAACCGCAAGAAACGACATAACTGGTGATAAATTGTACTGAAGCTAGAATGCATTGATGAACAGCTGCAATTTCCAGTTTTTTTGCTTTAATGTTAATTAAACGGGCGCAATATTTCGTGGCAACATATTCCTTCATTGTTGCTCATGTTTGGCCAAATCCTGTAGCACCATTCAATATATTCCAACAGAATGGTTAAATATTAAACCAAGTTGAGCGCGAACAATATTTCAAAATGCTGTGTTGAACTATTTCGTGCTTTTAGCCAAGTTGTAATATATTCCAAAACAAGTGCAATTTTTGGAAAATTTTTTGTGCGTGTGTGACGATAAAAACTATCGTAGCTTGCGCCAAATTTCACCAAATAGTTCTTCCCTCCTTGCGCAAACTGTGTAAACAGCGTAACAGAACAATACACACTCTTTCTTTTTTATAAGAATATGTTTTATAAGAATATGGAGGCTGAAATTTGGAAATTTTAAGAAAATTTTAAGAATAAACCCGAAGCTAAGATTTTGAAAAGAAGTTCTGCGCGTGATATCAGGCTTTGATGCCTGCAGGCTGGCTCCAAAATTACTTTAACACCATCCAAACACCAAACAGAAATATCATTCGCCATAAGAATATTCACAAGAATATTTTCAGCCTAAAATCGGCAAATCGGCAGAAAAATAAGAAATTCGACCTCGGCCGAAAAAACAATATTCTTGTGGAAAAAAGAGCCGATTTATGTACATGAGCAGAATTTAAAAAGACCTCTTGGTGTTCAAGTCGATTTCCATTTAATCACTCATTTATATTTATCTGTCATACCATAAACAAATAACTCAGTAATTATTAGTCCCCTCTATAATTTAATGCTCTGATACGATTGACTGACATTTCAATTTATGCATTCATCCAGTTTATTACAGTCTTTTTATTTTACAAATGAAAAGAAATTGCTGCATTTTTTTATGGACCATTCAAAGTTCCCTACATTTTTCATTGAGGAAAATGACATTTTTTTAATGGGCTGGTCGCGACAAAATAAAGCACATTTATAGCTCGCGGCAAAAGCCCCACGGGTTTTGTTTCATCCTAGTTGAGAAATTCAAAGAGACTTTTGGATTCGAACTAACGAATTAATGGTAACAAAAAATACTTACGCAGTTTTATACAGAAAGAGGAAAATCGGGTGGCGCTCGTGTTACCAGTAATAAAACGTGGTTAGAGATTTCGTCACCAAGACACGGCTCTCTAAATAAACCACTTTTTATCATGAAGTTGCCGTCGGCCATAAAACAAGATGCAATGAAGACTTCCTGTTATTCAACATCATCAGCGTTCTTGTGTTTTGGGGGGTCAAAGTTTTAAGCGGAATAATTTTTCACAACAACTCATTATTCCTAATCGGTAATAAAAATTCATTCAGATATCTAATTCCTTTAAACGAGACTTTGCGTACAACCTGATGTTAAAGTTTTTTTAATTAATGAATGCCTTGTTCAGAAAGAGGAAATCTAGACCGGTAGGAAACCTGTCGTTTTCTACCTGATTAATGACTGTTTCTCATGAAGTTGCTGTGAGCCACCACAGTTGATATAGTGTCATTCGTCGCTCTAGAGGCAAGCAAAGAAAAACCCTTGTCATTTGAAATTATCAGCTGAGTTCACAAACGCAGGTGCGCGTCACCTAGATAGTTTTTAAATACGCTGGAACAAACCAAAAGACGAGATAAAGACTTCCTGTTTTTCGATATCATCTACGTTTTATGTTTTCTCAGGTCGAAAGGAAGTATTCGTTATTTCTATTTTTCTCTTATTTCACTGACTGAGTTACACTTAGTGCGAGCAAGGCAGAAAAAGGCGGTAACTGAAAGAGATAGTCGGATTGATTCACGAGGGGTGCCCTAGAATTTGGGTTTAAAGAACGTTTCATTAGCTTGGGCGCTTTGTTGTTCCACTTCAGGCCCTGTCCACACTGCGCCGGAGGAATTCGAAAACAGCGTTTTCACTTTGAAAACGCATCAAAAGTTTTCCGTTAACACTACGCCGGAGAAATTTGAAGACGCAACAATCACCGGTAATCTTGGATTTGTGTTTGAGGAAAACTAGGGCAGGGAAATCACATGATTATCGTGACGTCATCGTTTTCGAAAAGCTCCGTTTTCAAAATGTTTTCCGTCCACACGAAAACGCAAAGTCGAAGTTTTCAACATGATTTCTCTCGTTTGAAGAGCGTTTTCGTGACGGATTAGTGTGGACGGTAGGCCTGATCGTAGAAATAAAGCTGCGTTTTGAAATTTCTCCGGCGTAGTGTGGACGAGCCCTCGGAGCATACGATAATTGGCTCTTGAGAATTCTTGCTTTCGAATTTTCAAATAGTCGCGTGTGTATGAATAAATCATTTTTAGAAGAATACTGTAAAAGTAAAACTCTCTAGAGAATATCACTTGGTCTGTAATGGAACAAACCACCCATGGTATAAAGGTCCATTGAGCCTAGTAATAGCAAGACAAAACTAATTACTGTGCAAGAAGTGCTAACAACGTAACTGATCTAGAGCGGAGTGAGTGTAGTAAAACGAAAGCAATTACAAATAAAAGGCATAACATAAGAAAAACAAGCAATGCATTGAACCAATGAGAATTCAAACTAGTAACATGTAACCATCGCCAAACGAAGGTTACCAAAACGATAGTTACCAAGTTGATAATTACAGTGGTGCTTGCTTTTTTCTAACCAATCAAAGAGAGTAGTAGATTAAACCAAAGCAATTCCAAATTAGTCTCGACACTCGCTGAGAAAGGTTCAATAGGAGAATATTCAGGGCTAAGGACGGTTGAATTTTTGAGTTAAACTATGATTTAGGTTACCAGTTATCAACTAAAGAGTTATTTAAAAGTTTGGTTTTCTCTTAGTTCCCAGTCAACCGCCGCAAAATGTCATCGTTCACAATCTCACAGGCCTTTCTTTTCTGCTTACCTGGGACTTAATCCTTCGAGAGTTTACAAACGGCAAAGTCCAAGGTTGTCGGCCCAGAGTCTGGGAAGTTAGTCATTGGATAGCAGCTGAACAACCAAACGTAACAACAGTGAATGACACTGAAACAAGCGCACTGATTGGTAGACTCAAGCCTGATACGACATACGTCATGCAAATAGCAGCTCATACGTCAGCAGGAGAAGGAAGAATGATTCAAATATCTGTAACAACTTATGAAGGAGGAATGTAATTGCGCTTCTTTCTTCTGCCTTGGGCACATGGCCTTCCTCGCACTAATCCTGGGCTACGACTTTAAGATTTTCGAAAAATTAAGCAGCGTGGTCAAATGAGTGAAATTGCCAAATTTTAGTGAAGTGCCAGTGGTCTTAACGTTGGCCATAAACCTACGTCACAATGCTCCTTCATGTCTATGTTGAATTTGAGCGCGATGTATTGAATACTTTTTGTGCGACGAGGGTTTAAAAGCTCAAAATTTTACAAAGAATGTAGGAGCTCATTAGCGCTTTTACCACACAGAAATTTTGATGTTTTTGAAAGCCAATTTCTCCTAGAATATTACACCCAAAAAGGCAAAAATTTCACCACTTACTAAGTTTCACAAGCTCTTTAAGTTTTTCTAGTAAAATCGTGTCTAGCATGATGCCTTCTATGCGCAAAGTCGTATGTTAATGAGGAAAAATGTAAACAATGACGTCAGCAAAGATTCGCCTGTAAAGGGATGAGGGCTCTTATCCCAAAATTTGACCAATCTGGATACGCGTCTAGCTTTTTTTGCCCTGAAGGATCTGATTCTGAAGCAAAAAGGAAAGAACTTGGTGACTATAATGACTGTAAAGACGTTGTTATTGAATATTTTCATCCTTATCGCATGAAATTTTCGCGACACGTTCATTTCGCGATTTTGAGGTGCGTATATTTCGCGACCCTAAAATTCCGCGATTTTGCAAAAAATTTGTATTTGGGAACATTTTAACTCGCGTTTTTGCGTAACACAATTTATTTTCTCGGCAATGTTACTTTAACATGTCCGTCAATTTAGTAAACCTAGTTTACCAAAGGTACAATAACGTCAAAATTGAAATAAAACACAACAGCGGAACTACAGTTATGTCAACAGAAACATAATGTAAGTCACTTAA